ACTGTTGGAGTGATAAAGCTTATCATTACCCTTGCATATACCAACCCCTCTTAAACTGTTGGAAAATCAGAGTAAGCCAATTTCAGTGTTACCTCGCAGGTCTGCAGCCGCGCTCTGGGTGCATGTCATGGCATACCAGGAGTGTCTTCTACTACAAGCCAAGTCCAAAAGTGAAGCATCCACTTCACTTTAAAGAACTGATAAACCAAATGTAACACTCCACTTTTATTTTCTGCTAAAAGGCTCTGTTAGTATCTTACCTCTAAAAACAGATCATCAAATTTTAGGAAAAAAGAATAAATTTGGCTGTAGACAATCCATGCCATGAAAAATTTCCACAAATGCTTAAATAGCTGTCTTATAACAAATGAATGCGCCTTTTGCATGATAGCTCAATCATTCATAAATGTGGTTATACCATTCTGCATCATATTTAAGTAAACAAGCTTGGTATTCAGCAAATTATTGCCAACTGCACCAGCACTCTGTGTTTTCTGGGCTTAGTAGGAAACCTGCTTGAAGTCTGAACTCATCGTTTCTATTAGCTTGTGTAAAGACAGAAAGTCACGTCCTGTGTAGTGGTGATAGATGGAATTAGCACTGATGGCAGAAATGAATCATATTGCCTGAGGCTGGCTGACTCTTGGTGATGATGTAGTTGACCATTTGGCAATGTGTTCAACATGCTCTGCACCCCCAAACCAAACAGAATAACCTTGGCAAAGCTGGTCAGCCCAACACATGGAAACAGAGCTCCCAAAAAAGTGGAAGTAGCTTTTCAGTAGACGTATTCACAGCCCCAGCTGTGGCTAAGCTTTGTCACTAGGCTGAATGTTGTGTGGTTTGTTTTTTTTTTTAATTCAGAAGGCTTCATGCTTTTCTAGAGACAGGTTAAGCTATCAGTGCTCGCCATAACAGATTATTTCTGATCCCATGCCACTCACTCCCATGCTTACCCTGATAAGCATTAAGAAACTGATCCAGCACGGATTGTGAGAGTAAGTAGATGGGACCAGTCCCAATCAGTTCTACTGGTATGCCTTTCAAGCACTTCTATTAATCATTGGCAGAGCCAGGACATAATTTTCAATAAGCTTTAATGTCACAGTCACTGTATATAGATCTACAGTTAGGACTACATCATTATTATTTGGGATGCTAAATACAATTAAATATGTCAGTTTATTTATTGAGTAGTGCATGTTTTTAAATGATTTATAGCTAATTTAATAATTTTAAGTTATGAGGTGCACATGTATGAACACTTTGCTTCATACCATGAATATAATGAAAGTAAAAGGGTTTTCTTCTGAAATACTAAAGAGCACATGCAACTCTTCTCCACTACATAAACTTTTAAAATATGCTCACCCAAATACCGTTTTTAGTATCTGCCAATATTGCATAAGGTAGGACATCTATCAAGAGTGAGAAGGATGTTTTACTGTGTTTTGTCTGGTCACATGTTTTGTTGACTTTCAAGGAATCTAGCCAGAGCTACACATTCACAGTAACGATTCAATAAATATGGCTTGCACTTAGAGGGCGTTATTTGCTCAAGTTTACAATAACTTCCACTTATGGTGGCTTATGTCTATGCTCAGAGATCACTCCTAATCACCTAACAGAAAACATCGAAACAACCATCTAAAATTTACTTATTGCTACTTTGATGCACAGAGTTTTGCCAGAAGGAAATGGTTAAATTTCCATTATGTCTCATTCTGGGGAATCTTGCTCAGTGCTTGGTAATTCCCTCACTCAGTATCTTTTAGCTTTCCAGTGGCACATGTCGCATGTGCCATCAGTCTCGGGCAGGTGAGCTTTTTCAGAAATAAGGTAGTGCTATGCTGACTATCATTTTTACATCTTGTTACCGTTAGTAGAATAGTTTTATAGGAAAGTTGTAGCCTGTGGGTGCAATCAGAAGTTTTTATAAACTTGATACAAAAGGAGCCTCAAACTCTCACCCCAAATAATGAGCCTATAACGTCTTTTACTCTGAAAGTGTTTTGTGTCCTGATGTAGCTCTTTGTGCTCATGGAATTGCATTATACCACTAAATCTTCAATTTAGTCCAGATTTCATCATTCTATCATGTTAACTGTTTTTAAGGAATAAGAAAATGTTGAAGAGTAAATAGTGCATAATATAATAATATCCATAATTGTGCATAGTCTTCTGTGATGAGCTGTCATCATAAAAAAAGGGATATGGAATAAGGAATGGGAATTTTACTGTTGAAATTCAAATAAATGCAATCTTCCCAAGCTGCAAAATCCAGGATCACAATCAGTGTGAAATCCTCACCAAAAGCATTTGATCTGTGGGAACGTGTACTACCCAGGCCTCATCCATTAAACTGTTTTCACAAATATAAAAACCTAATAAACTTTCTTCGGTAAACCCTACACTGCTTCCTACTAGTTTCAGAAGGAGACATAGTACTTTTTTATTTTTTTAAGCCATATGAAGAGAGAAAGTATAGTCAATTCATGAAATCTTTTGAGTGGCATGCATAGAGATCTTCATAGAAGATGGAGATCAGGAAATACAATAAAAGTGCTGAAGAGCTATAGAATCCTTCTGAAGCTCAAAAATCACTTTCCATTCTCTAGAAAGGGGCCCTATTCATATGCATACACACAAAATAGGAATAGCTTTAAAAATTAGACTTTGAAAATCAATATTGTATTTAACTGACTCTTCCCACCCCACCCCCCCAAAAAAAGGAGACAAGGAATACTGAAATTAGAATAATTATGTTGTGATGAAACATGTATTGAACTTGGTAAGAATCTACCATTATGTAGACAGGGCAAGATTTCCTAACAACTTCCTTTTCTGGATCTAAAGGGCGGGGTTTTTTGGTATATCAAGTCATGGCAAAGTACAGAGTGCTACTTGGGACCAAGACTATGCGCACTTCTCACTTAAAAATTTAAAAAGGCACAAAAGGGATGAATTGACTCAAACAACTGCTTTAGACAGCTAAACAGAGTAAAGACTAAGTGTAAACAGGCTGGCTCCTTCTTTAAGTGGTCAAAACCCTTTATTTTTATAGATGGTTATATTAAAAGATCTGCTCAAGACACACCTTTGTAGACAGTACTAAGCTTCTAGAACCTCAACAATTAAATAAAAGAACCCTCTAGTTGACTGATGTCTCATGGCTTTATCTTGATCTTTCTCTCCCTTTACAACTATTTTTATGCCTCAACTGGCAATTTCAAGAACTCGCCATGAGCTAAAGAATTCATTATCAGTCTTTAAAACAATTTAGCATGAAGTTTAAAGTAGTAAATTTGTGCCTAAGGAATTAATTTTGAGAGTGTCAAATATAAAAATTAATTGAGCCAAATACAGAGTAGACAATATTGTGCCTTGCAGTTACATTTAATGCAGATGTGTATATTACGATGAATAGTGGTACAAGTAAGTCTTCTACTGATCACCACAGTAATCTGCATCACAATCAAGAAAGTAACACACATACCAGGTGCAGTCAAAAGGAAAGAAATCCTGTATATGAAGGCTTCCAATGTATTTTTTAAAAAACCTTCCACTGAAGATCCGTTGCAGAAGCCCCTGGTAGACATGCTAGATCAATGCAACAACAAAACTGCCAATAAAATTATGGTTTAATCCACTTGGCAACAAAAGGGTCAAGTGGCATGAAAAAAACTTCAATCCTGCAAATTACTTATTGACACTAATGGGTTACTCCTCAGAGAATTTTCACCACAAATTTGTGCATAGGCTGCAAGTGTTTTTCTAATGCAAATGTAACTTATGAAAAAGAAAAAGGGTAGGCCACCAACTCAAAGAAAACATTTATTGAATCAAAGTCAATACTTTCCTTTTAATATCTACAAGCCAACACTGAACTGACTTTATTCAAGAATGAACACAATGTACAAAAAAAGTATGTCTGTTATAAAAATATGTCAAATTTTTTTTCCTGGCTATTGAGCTGAAAACATTTTGACAAGTGCAAGATAGGTTTGGCAAGCAAATTTAAACCACTATTACCAATGACAAAGTTCAAATAATTTCGTAATCATAGTATATTTAAGACTCATTGATAAAGTGGCACTGGAAATGGTGACTCCTAAAATAAAATATATCACTGCACTGCCATGTGCTTATGCACCCAGACAGTTGAATATCTTGATCTTCTGTCATCACGAATCAGTACCTTTATCAGTGAAGACTACCCAACCTAATTTGAACTATTCAACCAGGTAACTGACACCTACCACTGGAATACAACTTAGGGAAGGCAAACTACCTCCATGGCCCTGTATTTTGTGTGTTGTTTGCAAACTGAGAGAGAAGAATAGGTAGGTTCATACATGTTTCAATCAACCTGACAGCTGTTGCAATGTGAAATCAGGGAAAGGATGGAAAAAGAATGAAGAATCATTTATGACGGCAATCTATATTTATGAACATATGCATGTTTATGTATAAAAATGGATCTGACTAGGCTCAGTTATGTCTTATTTGTCTGGATGTTTTTTTTTTTTTTTTCACATGAGAATTTAACTCAACCAGGACTCAGATCATTCACTTCTCTCAAACCACCACCAAGGAGGAAAAAAAGGGACCATTTACAGAGATAATCTGAAAACAGTGCAATATTAAAATACAATTTCACAACGTGTGAAAGAAACATGCTTTGGAACCTGAGCAAAAGGCGTTTTACTGACTTTGTAAAAAGTCACCCTGTATGTTGTTTTCATTGGCATCTGTTCTGCCAGATTAGTATGTTGCTCTTAGCAACTTCCATGGCCCCTAAATATTTAGTACACAGAAACTGCCAGCTACTTAGAGAGGTCTACTAAACTTTTCAGCTAATCTTGCAGGCAGTCTGACATGCTGCTACTGGAATTGACCATACAGCCTAAAATTAAGAAAAACTGTAAAGAAGCAGCCAAACATGATGCTTTTCTTTTTTAAATAGACTAAAGCGCTTCCACAACACTTAGATACGGTACTACACTGGTTTACAGTCTCAAGGTCAGCTCTTTCAAAATAAATATACCCAACATTTACAACAAATGCCTCATGAATGCAAGCTCTCTCTTTATTATTTCAAGACCAGCTGGATAAAAACTAAAATAAAGACATAACTCTGAAGCAGCTAAGTTACAAATCCTTTTTCAGAAACAGGCATGACTTAGTGCCACAGCAAAATCTTTCACCGGTCTGCAGTAAGCATTTTTTTTTTTTTCTTCTAGCACCAAGCAGGCCACCATACAAAGCAACCTCACAAAGCATGCGGTCATCTACTCTGCTGATTCTGTAGGAAATAATCATTTGTGCTTGCAGGTCCTAGACCTTTCAAAAATGGATATGAACAATAGATGATTGAAGACATTAATGGAAACTCACTCATTTCTAAATTACTTGAGCGGAGAAAAAATTTAAAGACTGAAAAGCAACAGAATGTTGCACATTAGTATTTGTGAGGGATGAGGGAAGCTAAGGTTGGTGCTTTAATTTGCCTTAAAACAAACAAAAAGCTAAACCCAATCCTAAACAGCTCTATGTCCATGATGCTGGTAGAGGCCAATGTGTGCATGCCACTGAAAGGCACAGTTGGACCAATCTGATAAATGGCATCATCAGAGCAGAACAGCAACTTTTCACTGAAGTAATCACAAAGGGTGAACAATGAGCCATCACTTCTCTCGTCATGAGCACAGCAAGCAGTCACCAAGGCAAAAGAGGGGACACAGGAAAGAAGATACAGGAACTCACATAAATCTGGAAGACAGAAAACACATATTAAACTGAGTTTTGAACATTCTGAATGCCCATTTTCCTATTGTAACATTGCTATTCATTGATTTAACACCATACACATTATGCTTAAATGGATGGAACTGTTGCAAAAATGGTACCCTAATCATATCACAAAATTCTTCTGAAATTTGGTATACAACTAATTTCACTTGCAAAGATTTGCCTTCAATATCATCTTAGGTATAAAACAGGCTTATGAACAGACTGATGCAGTCAGGACAATCTCCTGTTCATTGTGTAAAAAAAATGAACGTGCTTACAGAATATTTAATTTTTTACTCACAAATGCGTTTTAAAATTGGGCATCATAAAGACATAGCTATTTGTAGGGAGCTACTTATGAATTAGTATGGTTGTTCTTCCTACTACTGTAATAGTGCCTGAAAAGAAGAGTGCAATACTTACTGGAAAAGTATCCCCAAGGTTATCCTGCCTTTGTATCTACAAGCTGCATCTGAACATTTGCAGACATGCCACCTCCATAGCCTCCCTTGGACTGCATTTGGTTCTGAATTGAGCTGACCTGGAGCCAGAAGGGAAAGGTGGGGTAGAGAAAACAAGAAAGGCAGTTAGTGAGCTATAGCGTCTTCTTGCTTCCAATTTTATTTCTAGGTTAGGTTTGGTTTTCAAGTGCTCCTTTACCATTAAAGCTACATCGCTTTTGCATGAGGACATGTGCAGCGTAGGCTTGTTGGAATTTTCACTTCTGCAGGCAGCTCAGCAGGAGAGATCTATGAATTGGTGCTGAGGCAGAAGTTTTTCCTCTCTCCCAAAGAAAACTGGCTGATTCAGGCTTTCACTGACCCGCTTGATTACTCAAAAAAAAAATCAAATCTCTTACTGGTATCCAAGTCCACTCCATCTGACAAGCTATAATTTAACTTGTTATATGGAAAATATTCTTTGCCAAGTATGATAAACCAGAGAAGCTGACACCATTATGTTAAAAATATAATAGACAACTTACAAAATATCTGGATAGTATCTGCACTGTATGGCTAACTTCAGATAATTAAAAAAGGACTTTCTAAACCAAAAAGGAGCTTTTGGTTTGTGGAAGGTTTTTTATTTATCTATTTACGTAACAGCATACACTGCTTTCCTTAATTGCTACTATTCCTTTAAATGGCAGGGTATTTATTGTTTAAATCATACTCAATCTATCAACTTCCCTGGAAATAGCTTATTTGAAGGTATTTTTAGCCCGATGTAAATAAATACAAAAAGAACCCCCCCCACACACAAAGACATGCACATCCCTCTATGGCTTTGATTGCCTTTATCAACAAAAAGGAAGGGAATCCATAGTTCTTTCCTGCATGTGTTACATAAGTCAAAACAATAATCTCCAAGTGCCTGTGGGAAGACAACTCCAACCTTAAAGGTTTGGCCTTTTTCTCTCCGCACCCCAGAGTGTGCATAACAAGTACACAATGAGCACAAAATAACATACTCATTCAGGCTACAGCTTCTGAAATTGAACTTGCAGCAAAGCCTATGCCTGCAGGGCACCACTTGCAATTATTACATGTATGCTCCTTCATAGAGACCCCCAAGCATCACTAGAAAGCTGTATCAGAACAGCACTGGAGAAAGATTTCCAAGTAGTTTGCACGATATTCTCCCTGTCTGCAAACACAAAAGAATTATATTCTTTTCCACAGCAAAGCAAAACACGTGCGCACACACACAAAATGAACCATCACAACTCCTTCTTATACACAGTTTCTCAAACCAATGTGGAAAAAAAGAGCCTGTTTTAGGATCTCTGTCTTCAACAGCATAGCATTTTGCAGTGCTGTGCAAAAGATCCGAATTTTATGTCTTTAAGCAGCGCAATGTAAAACCATTTTCTACCTTGGCACTTCGCTCAAGTAAGTGATACAGCTGCAGCAAAGCAATGTTATATTCACATTTTTCTTCAGGGAGAAGTGTTCAGAGCCAATACCCTAGTGGGTCTGACATCAGAGACTACAAACTCTGTAAGGAAGTGTGGAGAAGTGCAACCACATTCATGGGGTGGTGTTTAAGAACTTTCACATTTCACCAAGCTGGTTATCATCTTCACCAAGCATCTTCTGTTGCTCATTGGAACAAAAAGAGTTTGGATTTAATTTTTTTTTCCTCATAAAATACTTAATCTCCATGTAAATGTATTCACAAGAATGACTTGAGGATGGCATTAATTTTATTTGAATGAACCCTGCCTCTAGTGAAAAAGAGCTAAAAAAACATCTCCAGGCCATGCCGCCTTCCAGCCTGACAACTTGCCTACGTGACTTTAAAATTTTGGAGAACAGCAAATCAACACAAATTGCAAGGCTAAAGTATAAATTTTTACGAGTACTTCTTCTCAAGGTTAGAATAATTTCTCTGGTACTTGAGTCACACATACAGATGTTTGTGTTAGTGGGTAATGAAGTATCAGTCTAAAATGCAGAGGCTGTTACACCTAAAGCAAAGAGAATGCAGCAAATTAAACTTGACTGCATTAACAGTTCAGTGGCTATTTTGTATGTGAAAACTTATATAGGACACATACAATGTTATAAATACTGAGCAAAAAGCAGGTCTAACAATTGTATGCTTGTAAGGTGGTATTCCTTCTGAAGCATCCTCCTCTTGAGGCAGCCTGAGCTACAAGAACAAGCACCATGAAATGTAATTTTTTTTTTTTTTTCTTTCCCAAATATGCCATTGCCTTCCTTTGACGATACATAACAGCAAGGTTTTTCTCTCTTATGTTTAACTTAGCTAGAATAAGTATTTAAAGATTTTGGAAGGGGAAGAGAATTGCACCAATTAAAGATCATACAATCTGTTGTGCTGCTTATCTACCTCTTTAATTTCCTTCTTTCCTTTTCTTTCTCTCCCTTTTAGAATCAGGAAATAGCACAGATGGTCCTTGAGAAAGAAAACAAGGGAAAAATAAGAAAAGGATGGAATACATGAAGTCAAAGACTGAGGAATATGAAGCAGAATAAGAAAGTGAGAGGTTTCACCATGGAACATGAAGGTAAAATAAGAAAGAAAGTGATGGGAATGTGAAAGAAACAGTGCACAGAGGGGTCCTACTGTTTAAGCGTACCTTTGACAAAGGAGCAAGGCGCTCTACAGAGAAGGCAAACAAAAAAGCAGTCTTTCAGTAGTCAGAAAACTACTGTACTCAGAGTCATAAGGATATGTAATGAAGAACAATGCTGATGAAAAAAGGCACAGAGCAGATAGCGGATGAAGAACCAAATTTGTATGGGAAAAGCTAATGAAATTGCAGGAGGTATTCCTAAGGTATTCAGAAGAGAGAAAGCAAAAGGAGGTTCATGAAGGAGTATAATGTCCATACTATAAAGGAAATTAAGCAGCAGAAAAACATATGAAGGGTAACACCGTAATCTTGGAATTTACACTGCGAAGAATGAACAAGGAGACTGGATGCAATATTACCACAGTAAGTCACCACAGAAGAGGCACGAAAATAAGCAGTGTGAAAAAGCAGAAATTTGTGTTTCTGGACAGAGGGGGGGAGAAGGGGGGAAGGATCCACCCCGCCCCAATCCTTTCTACCTGGGATCAGAAAAATCAGTCTGGGCACTGATGCAGCACATGATCCAAATGAAAAAAAGTGAGAGAAAGAGATAGCCAGTTATGAGCATTCAAAATGAAACAGTCGATGTAGAGAAACAATAATGATTACCCACTATCTTGAGATTAATTGGATATTATGCAAGGCAAAGGCGAGGGCAAGCAGGGAGAAAGTCTGAGGTGAAAGAGCAAAGCTTCAGGCAATCACCAGAAACCTCACATGAGGCTGCTCAGCTGTGAGAAAAAGGAAGGTTCTCACAGGAGGGACAACAAACATTTAAAAAGCAAAAAGCCATCCTTTAAGAAAAAAAAAAAGAAAACTGCTCACTTTATCACTTTATTATTTCAATTTATAATGGCTTTAAAATATTAATGCAATATATTGCATTAAATAAGTAATTAGCTTTAACTGAATTTTATCAAGTTGAAGCTGTGTTTGTCCATTTAACTTGCTTACAGATGTTTTAGTACAAGTCTATTCCAATCCACTATGTTGTTTCTGGGAAAATGTAGTATATTTGTCATGTCAGATTTTCTAGTTTTGCCCTTCCCCAATACGTACTGAGTTACAAAAGTTTTCATCTGATCTCACTAAGCTGTAAACTAGTTGAAGCTATAAATGACCTCACTTGCCTACTTTAAAACCATCTCTCTCCTTTACAGCTCCGCTCTCTATTCTGATACCTCTGACAGAACTTTCTTCTCCTATGTCAAGAAGTATTTTTCACCATTTTCATCTCAAAACATCTTTTTTTTTTTTTCCTTTAAAGAGGATTATTAAGGTCAAGAAGTATTTTTCATCATTGTCTACATATAACCCTTTTCTAGATTGCATATTACTGACCTTAAAAACAGACTGACATTTCACATAAATATGAAGCTGTACAAAAGAAATTTATCCTCATAAGCTGACTTTCAGTACCTATCTTAGCCTCTGCTTTTCACTTTCAGAGAGATAAAAATATTTATTGCTCCTATAATTTACAGGGAGCCACAAATCCTTGCCTGTGACACTGCTGCTTTCTCTGAAAATAATTCACACTGCAAACAGGGCTACAGAGTATAGAAAAACCTCAACAAGGACACCCAAAAATATTTGTCTGCACCATAAACCAAGGTAAATTAGGGTTTTACATGAACTATATTTCAAATAGTTTAAAGCATTTAAAGTGAAAAATCTAGTCAATTATAAGACACTTAAAAAAGTTTTCTCTAAAATACGTGAGTATATTTTCAAATACACTTCTATTTCAGTTCATACATGCCATCAGAACAATTTTTTAAAAAGTATTCTACACATAACCTGTACAATTTATACAGCATCTACTACATATTGTCAATAAATGTAAGAATTGTAAAAATTATATTCCATGATCTTGAATGCAAGTGTTTAGGACTTTGAATTAAGATGCTAGCATGTTGTTCTTCTGTTTTATAGAGATTCTTTCTTATAGTTGAAAGACTCCTTGCTTCAGCCACAGTATACATATACAGCATTCCTGTATTCTGTCTAAGATGAAATATTCTTCATCCACTCATGCTTACCGAATTCATTCCACTGAATAGGTCTCCTGATCCTACATGAGCTGTGTGAACAAAGTTTGTTGGCTCGCCAATCATGCTTCGGTCAATCCGCCGTCGTCTTTTCTGAAAGGAAGGTAAAGAAACCATCTAACTGAGAGTCACTGGAAAGGCAAAAACAATGTGCGTCATAAATGTAAAAGTTAACTGTCCATAGGATATTTCATACACTGTAAGTTATTTTCATAAAGTCAAAAAGCAGAGTCCAAATTCCTAGGTTAGCCAAGACATTGGTAATACTGTCCTTTGTTTTCACTTGGAGAATCTATAGCAGATCAGCACTGGTACCACTCCTAACATTTAGGCCAACAAAACATTTGTAAATAACCTTACTACATTCCACGGTTTATTAAGCAATATTTGCAATGGTTCATACAGTTACTTCTGCCTATATTTGTATTTAAATGATGACATGACAGATCAAATTTGAGGTTTAGTAATTTGAAACAAGAATTAAGGATCAAAGAGCATTAGTAGTCTATGAAACTGCTAACTTACAGAATTTCTCATTTGCATGCCATGGGAACTTATGTCACTATTTGTAATATACTTCATGTCCATGTTCAGAACAATGCCTTGAGTTTGATCAGGGTTAGTCACAGACATATCTTTACTGAACCCCATATCCTCAGATAACTTCCAGTCTGTGTGGTTGTAGAGTGTGCACTGGAGGGGTGCAGTGTAATAGTAAGGCAGGATGCCAGATTAGGGACTCAGATTCCTGTGCCGTCAGACAGAAAGCAAGAATTGCCTAACCTCTGCCTCCCCTTTCTCAGAGTCACAGCTTTATTTCTTATTAATGTAATAACAGGCAAATGAAAAATTGGAGGCAGTAAGAACTTCCTCTAATTCAAGCTGCTTTAGTTGCCTGCCTCTAGCTAAGCTAAAGAAATAAAACAAGAAAACCTTATCCTCATTTCTTAGGGCAGAGTGAGGGAGCTTACACAGAGCAAACCATGCAGTGTGCAGTCACCATATGCCCATATCCTGTATTTGGAGGAGAAAAAAAAAAAAAAAAGCCATGAAGCACAGTATGAATATCTCAATTTAAGGTATGTCATACAAAATACAGTGTAATAGCTAAGAAACTACATGAGCTCAATTAAAAGCTTCTCATCATCTTAAAGTCCACTCAGTCTCATTTTTAAAGGGATCTCCGTTTCTAATCTGCAATGAGATTGTAAGACCACTCAGACTCGAGACACGAAGGTACATGCCTCACAAGCGGCCTAGCTGCTATTGAAACACAGCTACAGATTAAATCATTATGAATCAGAGCCCACAACTATGAGAATACATCATGGGGTTTAGCCAGCAAGTACAAAACACATTTAATCCTTTCCTGTACCTTTCCCCTATTGCTAAAACCACATTTCAGTAGGTTTCAGTACCGTACTGCATCATATTAATAGCTGGGGTGAGGAGAAACACATAAAACACTCCTATAGAAATAACAAAACAAAACAACCCAAACTATGCCAAAACTATTCGCAAATTCTCTAGTCCCAACAAATTTGACAAGATCAAGCAAATAAAATAATCATAGCTATAAAAACATGTTCATGTAGTTTGAGGGCTGTCACACAGAAAATGTTTGTGGAAATTAACCAAGATGTCTCAATTCCAGGAACACATTAGTAGAGTTCATAGAGCCATAAGAAGCCACAAAAGAACCTATTACCATGTCCCACCAATGCATTAATATTCCAATCTGGAAGTCAAGTTCACTTACACATACAGCAAACAATTTCTTAAATTATGCATGGCATCAGCTAGTAAAGCATACGTGACTAACTTGGGGGGAGAGACCCCACACCAGGTTTATGCTTCCACTGGATGAGAACTGCTTAACTGACCTGTTCAGGACAAGGAGCATCTCCACCAGGTGTGATGATTATTTTAAAGGCACATTCCTGTATTTACACAATATAGTACTGTAATATGCTGTGACTCTGACACAGAAAGAAGCTCTAGAGAGCTCTATGAAACACACTGCTCCAATTAAAACACTTAAAAATTGTTCCAGGTCTGCAGTAGTTGTCCCTCTCCTCCTTTTAAAAAAAAATAACAGCCAGAGTCAAATTAATTTATATGCCTAAACAATACACCCATGATTTCTTAAGTTTTGAAATCCAGGGTTTTGATGCAGAGAAAATGTAGACAATCTCAAAGCTTTTGGAATTTTTTGTGTATTTGTTTTGCAAATAACCAAGTCCTTTCTTTGGGCAACTCAACTTACTTTCCTCCTTCACTTATTGCTAAGATCACTGGCATGCCACTAACCGAATTAGAGCGCTGGATCTTGTGAACAACTGTAAATGATTCTCTGCCAATCATCAGCTAGTCAACCAGTAACCACCAGGTAAAGTGAATCAGCCATCAAACCCTATTTCTTATCTTAAGCCAGCTTCTTATCAGAGGTCATCAGCCAGTTACACCCCGGCATGTGCCTACTGATGTGATCTCCTTGAAGCAATCAAACAGTATTTAAATGCTCTGCTATATTAAGTCCACAAAGTAGTTCACTCTGAAAGCAAATCAAATGGTTTTTTGCTGCAGAAGCACTCAGTTTACATTTACATTACTGTTTTAGCTTGGATCACAAGCATGCTTTTGAAGCAACTTTGCCAGTCCCCATTTACCATGTTTCAATTTTAATTCCAGAGTAATCTTGGAGTGTACAAATGAAACTTCTTTTGGGTGAAGCTGAACTGGAAGACTAGCTGACGCACTCTCATTGCTAATGGACACTGAGGCCAACGATGAGGTGAGCCAGTCTGCAGCAGACCACAAAAGACATCTAATGCGCACCATGGTTCCCCAACACCAACTGTTCTGCTCTATTACATAGCTGCGCCTACTAGGATGTGCCATTTCTGTAGACACCGCCTCAGCCAGAACCGAAATGACCAATTAGCATGGGTGAAGGGACATGGGGAGCACCGTAAAAAGTCACCTCTTTTCAAGGAACGTAACACAGGAGACAGGAGTACAGAAGCATGCCTGGAAAGGTTACAAAGCTTTTACAGAGGACACCGTAAACGTCAGCTTTGTCAGGATTTTATTGTGAAGTTGTATTTTCTGAGGCCCTGTGCCTGCAAGAATACATGCAATACCATTTTTCTATAAACAATAAGAATTAACACACAGATTGAGTCTTCAGTAAATTTGGTATATTTAATTTGAAAGAAGCTAAGCAGCAGCACATTCATCTTTTACTTAAGAAGAGATGAATTGTACAATTATGCTCCTTTCCCTCTGTGTATCACTTGTGCCTTTCCATGCTTGCTCCTAGTGCAAGTCATGTGCCTGAGCTGACAGAGCCCAGTGAAAATTAATTCCCAGGAGTCTTCACCCATGCCCCAAACTCTGCTTGATAACATACCATAAATAATTAGCCTTAGAATATATATGCACCACTAACCATTGTAGTAGTGAGATCTGACTACAAAGGTGATCTAGAAAACAACCGCATGTTTATGATGCTAGCGCAAAGGACTTCAACATACACATGCCTGAATATTTGTATCATCTAAAGGTTTGTTTTAAAGATGTATCGGTCAGGTATGTCCCAACTCTGGCAGCCTAACTGCAATGAGACCCTATGTCCTGTATCTGTGCTTCTTGTGGATGTTTTCTTAGCAGGGGGGAAGCAGAAGAAAGCTCCTATTATGATGAGCTAACTTGTGTGTTATCTTTCTTGTTAGTTTGGGTCAAATTACTGAAACATTTGGTATCAACAGGCAAAAAAAGTTTAAAATCTGAATTGTAGTATTTGACCTTCTTTTCCCCCCCTTGCCTTGTCTTGAGGCACTTCCCCCTTTACTAAGGGGGGGAGGGATGGCAAGGAGCATGACAGAGGTGAGATGAGAGAAAAAAGACCTGTAAAAGTTCCTGGAAGTAGAATATGAAATGTCATCATTTAATGGCTTTACTCATTTTGTTCCCTAGACAAAAATCTGCAGAATTTGGATTGCCAAGCACACGCCAGGTAATCTTTACACCACAAAAAGAATAAATAATCTTTGAACAGAAGTAGCAGAGATGCAGGTTTGTATGTTAAATGTTTGAGAGGAATGGAAGCAGTCTGAAGACCCATCTCAGAAGCTTTGCTTTAAACATATACTAGATGCAAGGAAACTGGATCACATTTCAGTTACCATAGTAATGAAGGAAAGAATTGCTGTCTCTTCTGTTCTTAATCTGCAAGTGATGCTTTGCACCCACACAGGGTAGCATATCTTTCAAAGTACAAGATCAGAATTCAGAAAGTCACCAACAGTTGCATCATACAGAAACTATTTTAACCCTGCAAGTTTCTTGAAACTTTTGATAGTTTTAAACTTGTTTAAAAAAATTAAACTAATTATACCACGTATTCAACCTTCCCTTCAGCAAAGCCACAAGCATTTTACTGAAACTGTTTTCACAGTTCAAAAAACCTACTTATTGCAAGAAATTAAAAACTGTAATTTCTTTCTTTAAACAAATAATTGCCACTGATGGATCCAGAAGCATGTAAAATTTCCTTTTTATTCCCCTCTATTTTTGACTTGCAGGGAAGAAGTGATCTTTTTTGCCTATTTTCAGATTTTATCCAGAGGTTGGGCTGCACTTCTCTAGCTCAAGCCACTTCATAGTGACGGCAATACTTCTGAATTAGACAAGTTCTCTGGCTGTATATATACATATAAAAAAGGAAAAAGTTTTGGAAATTTTTCTCCTTTGCACAGTTATGCATCCCTCTCTGCCCTTCATGACAGGCCTTCATCAAAAAAAGAAAAAAGACAAGACATGCAGAATAACATCAAGGTCTCAAATATATCAGAAAATATTTGAGCGGTGTCACTTAGATCCTAGCAGGCCGATAATTATTTTTCTGGAAGCAGCTAAAAGCAGAAGTCACAAGTGAAGTCAAACAGAATATCATACAAAGGTATCCCAAAGTCAAGTACCAACCTACATATGCTGGGGTTCAAAAGCAAAGAAATCTCTTCTGTTTAGCTGGCAAAAAAGCATGTTCTGCTAAATCTACACCAGATTTTTGGAGACAGCTGCTAGATAGA